AACGTGTGTATGTGTGTGTGTGTGTGTGTGTGTGTGTGTGTGTGTGTGTGTGTGTGTGTGTGTGTGTGTGTGTGTTTGTGTTTGAATGTGATTTAAGGAACCCATAAACTAAAACACTGATCTGAAGAACCTGTAATGAAACATGAAAAGAAATCTCATTATTGCAACACAAGAACAGCTACAAGTTGTTATTGATCAAAACCATTAAAGGTCACACTTTATTTTAAGATCCAATAATTACTATTAACTAACTATTAACTACAACTTTTGCCTCAATTTACTCCTAATTTGCTGCTTAGTAATAGTTAGTAAGGTAGTTGTTAAGTATAGGTATGAGGTTGGATTAAGGGATCTAGAATAAGGTCATGCAGAATAAGGCATTAATATGTGCTTTATAAGTGCTAGTAATATGCTTGCTAATAAGCAACCAGTTAATAGTGGGAATTGGTCCCTAAACTAAAGTGTTACCCTATTAAAGAACGTTTGATATTTTTATTATGTAATGTTTGCTAGTGACTTTTTCCTAAATTGGATTTAGTATAAAATGTGATTTAAAAAGTGACTGTACAGCCAGACAGGATCAATTTCCTAAACACTGCCAGTGAGGATTTTCCACAGAAAACATGTTAGCAGTTGTAAAAGCAGCTCATTGATGGTTGCTTCATCGTCTTGTGTGATTCAAACTGAAGGTACTTCTGTTTGAAATATTTATGCTTAATGTTCCATCTCTAATTGTCTGCATCTGTGTGTATATGTGAGGGCTAATAAATGTGTATGCAGACAACTAAGTATATGGATTATAGACATTATTCTATTATTAGCTACTTATGACAGCCAAGGAATTAAACATCCTGGTAATTAATCCAGTGTAAGTGCTTTGTGTTCAAATTTTGATGCCATCCTGAGGCCGAGAGTTGATGTGCGGTTTTTAAAGAGCATGAGAGCTGCTCTCAGATCTCCTATAATCAACACCATTAATGAACAAACACCATGTCAGATGCATTATTGATGCTGCCTCACCTGCAGCGTTAGATCACATATCCACTGCTAACCTGAAGGGAACAGCAGGGCTGTTTGGCACAACTGCAGTAGTTGTTCAATATCTCTGGTGGAATTAGACATCAGGGAAGCAAACTAGATGCAAACAAAAGCTTCTTTACTAGATCTTTGGTTATAAAACAACAAGGATGCTTAGTACAGTGTTAAAACACAAAGCTACTGTAGTTTTAAGGGGGAAGCAACCAACAGAAAGGATGGCTATTTTAAAGCAACTAACTCCCTGTCTGATGTGATTATGATTGATATAATTAATTTATGATGGTTTGAACACTTGAGACCGTTGTTATTTAGTCCCCTCTTATGTTTTTTTTTTTTCACTGATTGTTTTCTGCGTAACGTGTTTGGGTGTTTTAATGTCTTCATAATGCCTGAATATCATTATTAAGGATGAATTTCACATGATAATTTCACATAATCAGTGAGACTCATTGACATTTAGAAATAGATCGCATCCTGAAATGTTTCTTCTTCATTTTGTCATAATTTGTTTTTATTTCTTCAAAATCCTTCAGTTTTCTGCCTTTTCACAGATTTAAATGGCAAATTCTTTAGGACTTTTTGATTTTACTATGTTTTTAAGGTAAGTAGCACAAATGTATGTATGTATTTGACATTCAACTACCGGTCAAAAGTTTGGGATCAGTAAGACTTGTAATGTTTTTTAAAGAAGTGTCTTATGTGCATCAAGGCTGCATTTATTTGATCAAAAATACAGAAAAAAAACAATAATCTTACAAAATGTTATTACAATATAAAATAATGGTTTCTATTTTAATATCCTTTAAAATATAATTTATTTCTGTGATGCAAAGCTGAATTTCCATCAGCCATTACTCCAGTATAAAGTGTCACATGATCTTCAGAAATCATTCTAATATGCTGATTTATTATTAAAAGTATCAGTGCTGGAAACAGTTGTGCTGCCAAATATTTTTTTTTTGGAAACTGCTATACGTTGTTTTAGGATTCTTTGATGAATAAAAAGTCTAACAATATAAATCTTTGCAATCACTTCTTAACAATTTAACACATCCTTGCTGAATACACGTTTTAATTTATTTCAAAAAAAGAAAGAATAAAAATGTACTGACCCCAAACTTTTGAACTGTAGTGTACGGAAGAGCTGACTTAGTCAGCAAAAAAAAATAAAAGTGCATGACTGTGATCAAATCTTTTCTAGAAGCACTTTGTAATGATGATGAGTTTCTAGTAAAACAGCAGTCAAATGGAGTGTCCCTCAGGGTTCGCAGGCCCCGCCCCCCGCGGCCGCTGATTGGACCCGCGCTCCATCACTCACGAACGGGCGTTTGTCATTGACCGGAATGCCTGTAGCTTTCAGAGCAGCTGTGTGGAGATGGAAGTGAGGACGCCTTCGACATGAGTGACTTTAGGTGATCAAGGGATAGTTTATTTAGCCTTAAAGAACTTGGGTGCCACAGGATACGAAGAGATTTTTCCAGGATTCACGCGGTACTTCGGACGCATCCGGCGCGCGCTCTGGCGCAGGAGAAAACGAGGACTTTGCGCAAACGAACACCACATCTCCATATCATCATGAGTTAGATCAGACACTTTCACCCACTCGAGACACACATAAAGCACTTTTTTAGACAAAGGGAGTCCTTAACTGGAAGTTTTCGTGCAGGACGCATGGAGGATCCGGTGTAAAGGCGCTCGAAGGATGCCGTCCCGTCCCGGGTCCAGGACATCTGGCTGCTGGATGCTGCAGTTAGTCCTTCTCATCTGAGCGCGATGGCTTCTGAGCTGGTGTGTGGTCTGATCTTCAGAGTGCTGTTGCCAGTGTGTCTGGCGGCAGGTAAGCGTCTCCATCAACACTTGGGGGTTGAGGGTTTCGGAGGGTTTTGCGTCAGTGCTCAATGTGGAGATGCGCAGTTTCTCCGTTACGCGGCAGGTGCGGATGATCATGCAGCTCTTGATCTGTCAAATACTGTTTGAATTTAAGTAGAATAGTTAAAAAATCTTATACGAAGACAGAAGTTCATATAAACTGACATTTTACGAAGAATAGAAAAGTTTGTATGTAGAAGGGCGCTTTGCCCATCATCTTCAGTGTATATTTGATATTTTTCCGTATTCATAATTTTCGTAGTTTTCCACACATATAGATCACATATATTTGATTAGTCTTTAAATTCTGGGTTCAAATAATTTTTCTAAATATTATAGTACTGCGTTATTATACTTACCAATTTACAAAGTAAGTGTTAAAAGGCTGCTCAAGTACAAGAAAAGTGTGTAAGGAAAACTTTGTCAATCAAAAATTGCTAGTAAATTTCGCAAAGACACAGCAAGTATACACTGAATTCAACATGAAATTTCGAAGTAGAAAAACTGAAATAGTATTTTCTTTCTAAAACGTACTCCAGTAATCTTCGAAATACCATTTATTTATTTATTTTTGCGGTGTAGGATAAACGGGCTAGTTGTCACACTTTAAATTCTATTGTGTATTTTTACAGAAAGTCCTTAAATAGACAATAATAGATTTGAAATACAGTTGTGTTGTTGAAAATATATTGTAAATTCTACACTGTAAAAAAAAAATCTGTGACATTTACGGTAAAATACCGGCAGCTGTGGTTGCCAGAACTTCACTGTAAAAAATATGGTAGCAACATTTTAGGTTTTACAGACTTAACTTAAACTCACAATAAAATACCGTATTTCATTAACTGATGTAATGTTAATAAACCAACATATTGAAGTGTTAATATCTGTTTTGAACCATTGTAATGCACTGATAACCACCAAAAACGGGTGGTGATGAGAAAGTCACATGATGAACCAAAGCTCATCACAAACAGCTTTTCTACGAGCTGAGGAGGACAATACTTATATATACAGTAGAAGGAGGACAGTGTCATTCACACAAACATTAAACCCCATCATGGTGACACACATGATACTGAAATAATGCAATAAACATTAATTTAACAACATTAGATGTAAGATGTACACCCTAATGTACACAACTGATAAGAAAAAAACTAAGAAGAAACATGTTATTTCAACAAAAAAACATCAAATATGAAGTGTCATGCAGGGAATTCTGGGAGTGTCAATTTACGGTTTTTCACTGTAAATAATACAATGGCTTTTTCTTTTTCACTTAACAGTATTTTACTGTAAATTACATCAAATGTAATTACATTTATTCACTGTATATAGTATGGAAACTTATTGTTAACCAGTTAACAGGTTTTTACTGTAGCATTTTTACAGTCTTTTACTGTTAAAATCACAATCATTTTTTACAGTGTAGTGTGTATTTTTATTCATGTATTTATTTATTAATTTCTGCGACAAAACGAAAAGACATTTTTAACAACATATAGCTGTATTTAAAATCTATGATTTTTTTTAGGGCTTTTCTGTAAAATATGAACCATAAACTGATCACTAAACACAAAATTCATGAAACAAAGTTTAAAAGGCATTGTTTTTGGTTCAGAAATTTTAATTAATTTGATAAAATTGCTATTTTCGAGGATAAGATTCACAAAATTTCTTAATTTGTGGAAGTGAACATACTGTACAAAACCACTGCTACCGAAAAATGTGTATATATATATTTGTATGAGGGTGTATATAATTTGTATAATTGGACTTTTGAGAACTAACCCTGTACGGTCTTATGTGCAAAACTGCAGTGTTTTATTTACTTTATTTTATTTAAGTGAAATGTTGGCTCTGAGTAGAGAAAATTGGCAAAATATATGAATGTCACAATAATGAACTCCTCCTCTGGTTGCTCTATTAAATGTTTTAATATGTTTAATAACATGCATCCATCATGATTTAAGACAGTAGTGCTGTTTTTGTCAGACAGCTTTATGTCTGGACTTCACCTGAAGTAAAACATGCAGGATCAATGATTATTAATCACTGTTTGTCCTAATGTGGTTTTACTCGTCGGCAGTGATTGTGGCTGGTTAATTGTTCTGTGGAGTGTATCTGATAACGAGTGTTTGAGTTGATGTCATAGATTATTGACAGAGTAATAGATGAAACCCCTCCGAGTGTTTTAAAGAGACATTCGACACCAGTGACTTCTGCATAAAACATATGGAGTGATTTTATATGCTTCTTTATTCGTATTTATTTATTTTTTAATTCTGAATGATTCCATTCTGGCCCGGCCATTTATAGTAATGATTATTTACACATTTTCAAAAAAAAATTTTCTATTTGTGACATTATTAGACACTTATTCTATTCCCATCTCTATATTCTTGACAGCTGGGACTTATGCATTAATTGATTGATTGATTGATTGTTGTAAATTGCAGTTTTAATAAACATTGACATTGAAAAAATATCAGTACTAAAAAACAAAAAAACAATGAATGACTAAATGCATGAATAAAATAACAGTAATGAAGGGTTAGTGTGAAGTGTGTAGAGCAGGTTTAGTAATTTTAGTATATCAAGTTAAATTAAAATGAATGTTGTCTCTTGTCTAAAATAGCTGAAATAAACAAGTTCAGTTTTTTAAATATTTTTATTTTTGATTCAAGTAGTACTCTTTATGGTTTTAGTATAACCTAGAGGTGTTTAGTCATTTTTGCTATTATATATAATAACCCTGGGGTGTTTAGTCATTTTGTTGTGTTTTTGACATTTGTATTATTATTATTTTTTAATATGCCCATATTGTGTACATTTTTTATTTCAGTTTTAGTTATTTTAGTACATCAAATTAAATTAAAATGAAATTGAGAAATATTGCCTTGGCAACTAACTGGAATAAAATAAGTTCAATTTATTAATATATTTTTATTTTAGTTAAAGTTTTTATAAGTAATTATAATAACCCTGGGACATTTAGTAATTTTGTTGTGTGTAGAGCCGTCTGTATAATAGTGTGAGGTTTAGTTTTTCACAGTTTTGGAAGCTTATGGTCCTTTTACACTCAGCGACCATTTTTGGAAGCCTTTTTTTCGATGTTTTTTTTTATACTGTTGGTACTTGCTGTCGATTTTACCATCATTAAATGAATCTAGAAGCTTTTCAGTCTGTAGGTTTGTCAGTATGAATATTCTATGGAAAAAAGCCGCTAAAAGGGTCTGAAAGTTGCTAAATCTAGTGCTAAAGTCACGCTCGTGTGTGTGAGACGCAGGAGCTGATGGCAGGAGGCGGTGGATATTTGTGGCGGTCAATGCGAGTTCTTCTGTGTCATCACGTTCTATTAGTTCTACAGCTTCAGTTTCGGAACTTTCACGCTTAGTAACACGTACAGCTGATCCTTCACCACAGTGCAACAGTGAAAAGGGACCCCTTTCAAACAGTGTCGCGTTCCGAACGTTTTTTAACATACACTTAAACACATGGTATTGCGGTATTTTAAAAATTCATATCATAACAAAAATAAACACCGGTATTCGGTATGAACCGGTATACCGCCCAGCACTAATGGTAATGTATCTGTTGACAACCTAAGTCCTTTCTGTTTTTTTTCCTCCAAACGCAATTGCCAAGACATGGAGCATCTCCATTAATCGGTGGAAAGTCGTTTTAACTGCATGAATTAATAATGTGGCATCAGAGGAGAGAAGAATCGGCTGCCCATTATCGTAAACACACCTTTAATATTTGATGATTTTATTTTTTTGGTTGAAGTAGTACTGAGCAAAGGTCATCCGCTCAGGATGGACAGGAGCGCTGAATGTTCATGTTGGAACGTGAGCAGGTCTTGAGATGTTTGAGAGTCTGTGTTGGAGTGTCGTTGGACTTTGTCAGCATCTGACGGATGTCTGTCCGTATGAAAGAGTAATCACAAAGAAGTGCTCTTTAATATCTCTGCTGTTTCTCCTAGACAGCAGCAAGATTAAATGGAAAGCAGAAATAGCAGTTACTTGCTATTTCTTTGTGAAATTTACTAGCAGATGCTTTTGTTTCTCTTGGTTAGAAATGTTTGAGAAATCAAATTCTACCTAGAGTATTTTTTTTATTTGTACAGAAATGTGTTATTTTAGCTGTAAATTGTCTAAATCAGCTCTTTAGCGGTCATATTACTGGATTAACTAGTTAAGTGTTAAAAGTAACAAAAAAATATATATATATATATTATTTTTTTTTTATATTACTGGATTAACTAGTTATGTGTTAAAAGTAACAACAAAATTTATATATATATTTTATATTACTGGATTAACTAGTTATGTGTTAAAAGGTTCGTGATTTTATCACACTAGGCTCATTTTAACTCCTTTAATGTTTAAGTATTGTGGATATTCTTTCAAAAACAGTGTATTTTAATGTTTATTCCAGTGTAATGCCCTACCTCTTAGACTTTCATTGTAATTTCATTATAGTAAATACATATTTTGTTTTTATGAACTGAGGGTTGAGTCAGTGTAATTTTAGGATCATTGAAATACTATTATAGTTTTTTTTTTCTTCATATTTTGAATTAGTATTTTATTTTTATATTTTGCTTTTTGGTTAAAATGTTAGTAATTTTGTCTGTTTTTGTAATTTGTATTAGTTTTTTAATGTCTGTATAGTTTTTTTTTCAGTTTTAGTTATTTTACTACAGCAAGTTAAATAAAAATAAAAATGAGAAATGTTGCATTTGCACCTAGCTGAAATAAAAAATATTTTTCTTTTTATTAGTTTATTTTATTTTAAGTAATGAAAGTGTATTATCATTGTTATTATTTTTAGTTAACTATAATAACTCTGGTACATTTTAGTAGTTTTTTGTGTGTTGTCATTTTTATTTATTTTTAACATGCCTATATATGCTCATTAATTTTTTTATTTCAGTTTTAGTTTATATATATATATATATATATATATATATATATATGTGAAATATATGCATGTATCTAATAGATACTTTTTATTATATTTAACTAATTAATTAATTTGCTATACAAGGTTCATGAGTTTAACATTAACAAAGGTTCTTGATATTACATTATTGGTTTTTCAAAATAGTGTCTAAGTGTGCAAATTAGTGTTCAAATAATTTTTTTTGTTTTGTTTTAATGACTGCTTACTTTTTTCTATTTACATATTATGTTTTTTTTTATAAATGTTTTTATCGAGAATGACTTGCATTGCATTCTGTTCATACAGTTAATGTAGTAAATTGTACTTAATACAGTTTTAATGCTATTAATAGTTTGTGCTTCTGACTGTAATAATAGGTTTCCTTAAGTATGGCATGTTATAGTTGGAATAAAGTATTTGGTGCTTCCACAGAAGTACTAAAACACTCGGTAATGGAATCATTAAGGCACTGGAATCATAACCTGGACCAGAATCATTAAATTCCTTATGATTCCCATCCATATTCAGCACTATACTCAGAGTCTTTAGACAAAACATCATTTTTATGTGAACATATTGAGATCACAATAAAATGATGCATTATAATGTCTGTCTGGGTTTGTACTGGTTTTTGATTTTCATTTTAATATCACCTTTCCATATAGTGCTCAAGTTTGCCAATATGGTTCAATATTTAAGACTCTTTAACTGCAGTGGAAAGTCCCTGTGGCTGTGATATCTGCACTTTTACTTCACCCTTTTATTGTCATTCTTGCTTTTTCTGTCACAAATGTTGTTTGTATAGTAGGGAATAGAGATATATTGGCTGTTTAACAATCTTAAACAGTATAATTGGTATTTTGGCAGTTTGTAGATGGTGATGTAATCATATTTTTGTCGTTATTGGCGTCTTCTGAGAGTTTTCTTTTGACTTTTCCAGAGTAGGATGTAATTTTTGTCTGGTCTGCTGCTGAGCTCCCTGTTTGGTAGTGAAATAAGTGTGTGTGATATTCACAGCATCAGCTCATAAAATGGCAAACTTGCAAGATTAACAACAAGATTTTCAAATGCCCTTACTCTCGTCTAGATGGTAAACTCAAGCCGTGTCATGACACAGTGCTTTATTTAGTTTCCGGAGCATCTTTCTGTCCAGTGATGAATAAAGTTCATGGAAAAAGAGAATCAGAGCAGATATTCTGGTAACTTCAGGAAACTCTCCACATGTGTGTGTGTGTGTGTGTGTGTGTGTGTGTGTGAGTGTGTGTGTGTGTGTGTGTGTGTGTGTGTGTGTGTGTGTGTGTGTGAGTGTGAGTGTGTGTGTGGCACTGAATGGTTTGTCAGATGCGCAGATGGAGACTAAAGGTCTATGAGGACATTCAATTGAAGCCTGTAAACGAGACCCTGTGATTTGACATGATCTTACTTAAATGGATTCTCACAGATGTGTTCATCTTCATATTAAAACATGAAATGTTAATAATATATGTATTTAAAAAAAAAAGGCAGAAACCTTTTTTTCTAAATATTTATTTATTTATTTACTTACTAATATTGTAATATAATAATAATATTTTTTTGCAAATAATATAAACAATTAAATGCAAATATTCATTCATTCAGTCATTCATTTATATATAATGCAAACAATCTTTCATTCATTGACTTATAATGTAAATAATATTTATTTACTTATTTACAGATAATATAATATAAACAATATAATGTAAATAATATTAATTCATTTACAAATAATGTAAATATTTATCCATTCATTTGCATATAATATAAATGTACATTTTCATTAATTCATTCACTCACTCACTTATAAATATAATGTAAATAATATTATTTACAAATAATATAATATAAACAATATAATGAAAGTAATATTCATTCATTTACAAATCATTTAAATAATATTTATTTATTCATACATTTGCATATAATATAAATGTAAATTTTCATTCCTTCATTCATTCACCTATAAATAATAAATAGTATTTATTTATTTAATTACAAATAATATAATATAAATAATACACATTAATTTACATAGTAAAAATAATATATCGTAAATACTTATTTATTTCTATATTTATTCAATAATTAATTCATTAATTCATTTACAATAATATAATATAATATATACACAGTATAATGTAAATAATTCATTAACAAATAATATAATCTAAATAAATGTTATTTTATTTTATTTGCCAAAGTGTCATATTATGGTTACATACCTGTTATTTATTTACCATATTTTCATCTGTGTGAGCGTTGTTTCAGGCTTTATGTTTTTAAAAATGAGAGATGCCGTATAACATCATGTTTTTTTGTTTTGTTTTGTTTAAACTCTAGATTACTCTAACATGTTGATATCTTCTCTCTGCAGCATGTCTGTTCAGGTACAATGGACTGTCCTTCATCTACCTCCTGTACCTCCTCCTCATCCCGCTGTTCCCCGAACCCTCCAGTATAACCATGCAAGGTGAGAATCATCACTGCACCAGCACTAACTCTTCCCTAAGCGTCACAAATGCCATGCAGGAAGCGCATCCGTCTCCTGAAACCGCCGTTAGTGCCTCATGCAGAAAATCCAATGGAGCAGAAGTGTTAACAAAACATTGATTGAAACAACTACAGTCAGGAGACCCTATAGATGGTGATTTGTGGCTTTTGTTCAGAGGAAGAACTTACTCATGCACTTAGAGGAAGACCAAGATTTAGGATGCAATGAAGGTGTGCTGATCATGCTGAATATTTGATGAGGACGTTAATCTGCTGAGACGAGGAAGGTTTAAGCGTTAGAGAAACTGATCAGTGTGATTTTTATTCCCATTATAGAGTTAAGCTATTGAGCTTGATAAGGCCAATATAAATGAAAGACTGTGAGAGAAACTTTTAAATATGATGTCAAAGATCAAACCATTATTTAAATGTCACAATATAATATGCTAATTTTATGCATAAATTGTTAGAAACAAATCAGCATAGTGAAAGAAGGCTCTTCTGCTCACCAAGGCTGCATTTATTTGATTAAAAATTCAGTAAAAACAGAAAAAAAATTAAATATGAATACAATTAAAAATGACTGTTTTCTGTTAGAATGTCTTTTAACATATAATTTATTTCTGTGATCAAAGCTGTATTTTCAGCATCATTACGCCAGTCTTCAGTGTCACATGATCTTCAGAAATCATTCTAATATGCTGATTTGCTGCTCAATAAACATTTCTGATTATTATCAATGTTGAGAACAGTTGTGCTGCTTCATATTTTTGTGGAAACCTTGATACATTTTTTATTTTTCAAAATTCTTTGATGAATAGAAAGTTCAAAAGAACAGATTCAGTCATTCATTTATATATAATGCAAACAATCTTTCATTCATTGACTTATAATGTAAATAATATTTATTTACTTATTTACAGATAATATAATATAAACAATATAATGTAAATAATATTAATTCATTTACAAATAATGTAAATATTTATCCATTCATTTGCATATAATATAAATGTACATTTTCATTAATTCATTCACTCACTCACTTATAAATATAATGTAAATAATATTATTTACAAATAATATAATATAAACAATATAATGAAAGTAATATTCATTCATTTACAAATCATTTAAATAATATTTATTTATTCATACATTTGCATATAATATAAATGTAAATTTTCATTCCTTCATTCATTCACCTATAAATAATAAATAGTATTTATTTATTTAATTACAAATAATATAATATAAATAATACACATTAATTTACATAGTAAAAATAATATATCGTAAATACTTATTTATTTCTATATTTATTCAATAATTAATTCATTAATTCATTTACAATAATATAATATAATATATACACAGTATAATGTAAATAATTCATTAACAAATAATATAATCTAAATAAATGTTATTTTATTTTATTTGCCAAAGTGTCATATTATGGTTACATACCTGTTATTTATTTACCATATTTTCATCTGTGTGAGCGTTGTTTCAGGCTTTATGTTTTTAAAAATGAGAGATGCCGTATAACATCATGTTTTTTTGTTTTGTTTTGTTTAAACTCTAGATTACTCTAACATGTTGATATCTTCTCTCTGCAGCATGTCTGTTCAGGTACAATGGACTGTCCTTCATCTACCTCCTGTACCTCCTCCTCATCCCGCTGTTCCCCGAACCCTCCAGTATAACCATGCAAGGTGAGAATCATCACTGCACCAGCACTAACTCTTCCCTAAGCGTCACAAATGCCATGCAGGAAGCGCATCCGTCTCCTGAAACCGCCGTTAGTGCCTCATGCAGAAAATCCAATGGAGCAGAAGTGTTAACAAAACATTGATTGAAACAACTACAGTCAGGAGACCCTATAGATGGTGATTTGTGGCTTTTGTTCAGAGGAAGAACTTACTCATGCACTTAGAGGAAGACCAAGATTTAGGATGCAATGAAGGTGTGCTGATCATGCTGAATATTTGATGAGGACGTTAATCTGCTGAGACGAGGAAGGTTTAAGCGTTAGAGAAACTGATCAGTGTGATTTTTATTCCCATTATAGAGTTAAGCTATTGAGCTTGATAAGGCCAATATAAATGAAAGACTGTGAGAGAAACTTTTAAATATGATGTCAAAGATCAAACCATTATTTAAATGTCACAATATAATATGCTAATTTTATGCATAAATTGTTAGAAACAAATCAGCATAGTGAAAGAAGGCTCTTCTGCTCACCAAGGCTGCATTTATTTGATTAAAAATACAGTAAAAACAGAAAAAAAATTAAATATGAATACAATTAAAAATGACTGTTTTCTGTTAGAATGTCTTTTAACATATAATTTATTTCTGTGATCAAAGCTGTATTTTCAGCATCATTACGCCAGTCTTCAGTGTCACATGATCTTCAGAAATCATTCTAATATGCTGATTTGCTGCTCAATAAACATTTCTGATTATTATCAATGTTGAGAACAGTTGTGCTGCTTCATATTTTTGTGGAAACCTTGATACATTTTTTATTTTTCAAAATTCTTTGATGAATAGAAAGTTCAAAAGAACAGCATTTATTTGAAATAGTAACTTTTGTGACATTTTAAATGTCTTTGCTGTCACTTTTGATCAATTTAATGCATCTTTGCTGAAAATTTTTTTTTATTTCTTTAAAAAAAATCTTATTGGCTCCAAAACTTTTGAACAGTAGTGCATTTTAAATATTATCTAATATACATTAGAGTGAATAATGACGTTGTTTTCTGAACGTCTGGTCCATTTCTGCTCTGTTCATGGCAGCACATTTCTGGAGGTGTGTTCGGATGTTTGTTTTCTGATTGTTAATTATGAATAAGAGAAGGTTTTCATGGAATAAGATGAAAGAGAAAGAGGACATCAATAGTCAAGCAGACCTGTGCTCATAGTAAGAGCAATGCATTCTGGGCTTCACAGTTCATACAGATTTATCAGACGCTCATTTGGATCCTATTTGTGGTAATATGCAGATGCGATTATGCAATGTTGGAAACGTAGACTATAAAGAAACAATATAATGGGATGCTAGTGTTTTGCAACCTTTTTGGGTTATGCAATTGGAAAACAGAAATGCCTGCAGGTGTCTGTGTATCATAATCATCTGCTGTGTTTCAGTCAACATACAAAAAGGTGGAAAAAGAGGTGCGTGCAAACATGCAGATTCACACATGCACTTCTGTACTGACAACAGACAGAACCAGACAAAACTGGTCTCATTCTGGTCCTGTCGGTTGCGGCGGGCTCCGGCTCTCCGTCAGCGGTGGGCTCGGGCATGCGCTCCGCGCATCGGGCAGATGGTGAGCTGGGCACTAGGTCGGGTGTGGAACTGGCGAGATTCTCCTGGGAACAGGCATGGAACGGAGATTCCTCGCCAGTGTCCACTTCACAAAGGCGGCGAAATTCACTCGAGGGCCTTCCTCGGACGACGGCGCTCTGTACGCGGAGTTTAAACTGCCGTCATAGAATGCACAGAGCGTGTCATCCAGGTAGCTGGAGAGGTTGGCAAGCACCAGGAACAGTCTGGTGTGGCCCTCAAGCGATCTCTCCCCCTGCTCCAGCAGGAGGAGGAGGTTTTCAGGACGAAGGAGGGGATCCATGGACACAACGGAAACAAAACACTGAGGAAAAATGGAAACAAAAACAGAGGGAACACACGGAGGTAACTATTTTGGTCGGGTCTTCTGTCACAATACGCTGGAGCACGGGAACGAGGGAACGAGGAGACGTGGAGAATTCACAAAACGAGAGTCTTTAATAATCCAACAGGGAGACACAGAGCACAAGGAAGACGTTCGCAACAAGTAGACCCGACGAAGAACTAAGGAACAGACAGGAACTTATAAACACAGGATAATTACAAACACAGGTGAGCGGAATCATCAATCACTAAACAAGAACAGGAAACATGACCAAAAAAGGAAAACAGGAACTAAGACAGAGGTAAAACACAACAGACAGTCCAGAATCCTGACAGTCACATAAACCCATTATAATAAATGCTGTGTAATATATACCTTGAATAAGATGCAGTTATAGGAATCTGAGAAAATGACCCCGTTATGTGATTTCTATAATGTTTCTCAAGAATCTCAGGTGTATTAAGCTTGAAAGTGTTTGTTTTAGTAAAAGGAGAAGGATTCGAAGTGTTTGTTGGTTTTGGTAAGTGTTTTATTTGTGATGTCTGAAGCTGTGTGATATTGGCCGTATTTTTCTGTAATGTTATCTAACACACTGGGGTGAATCAATGTCTTCTGTCAGGTTCTGTTAAAGGGGTAGTTCACCCAAAAATGAATATTCTGTCATTAATTACTCACCCTCATGTCGTTCCAAACCCGTAAGACCTTCGTTCATCTTCGGAACACCAATTAAGATATTTTTGATGAAATGTGAGAGCTCTCAGACCCTGCATAGACAGCAACGCAACTGTAATGTTCCCAGGTCCAGAAACGTAGTAAGGACATCGGTAAAACAGTCCATGTGACATCAGTGGCTCAACTTCAGTTTTGCGAAGCTACAAGAATACTTTTTGAGCGCAAAGAAAACAAAAATAACATAATTTTTTTAACAATTCTTCTCCCCTGAGTTACGTCTCACAATGTATCACAATGCATACACACGCTTTCCCCTAAGCATAAACAACGCTGATTACGCAGATTACGTTCATGTGTGTGCTTTCTCCTTCTTTTTCAAGAATAATTGTTAATAAATTGTTATTTTTGTTTTCTTTGCGCTCAAAAAGT